AAGTTTCAGATGTGGAATCCAGAACTGCATATTAGTACATAAGGTTGTGTATAAATACTTGGATCTGCACGACAGACAAATCTGCAGACAGACTGTAGGACTACACCCTTATTTCTCTCATTTCTCATCTGTTATGATTAAGGACCCCCTGAACCCTCTTTTAATCATTAAAAAAGGGTGGATCATTGTTTAATTTCTTTAATTTTTTTGCAATTTTCATAATACTAGGTGTGTTTTGCTCATTTTTTAAAGCCTCATCTTCTGGAATCTGGTGGGCATATTACTGTCCGTTTGAAACACACCAAGAATTTGAAATTTTCTAGCTTTTGTGCTTCTAAAATAAAATTATGGAATAGTTCTCAGATGTATGAATAAGGTTCGGACCAAAAGCCACAGATCCCTTATCTTTTTTAAACATTTTAGTATTTTAGGTTGGTACCGCCTAGGTTTGTGAGTGTTTACTTTGGAATCCTGAGGCTCCTTTTCCTCTCTATCTGTTAGTATTTCAATGCCGGTGTTTTTTAATCAGATGTTCGCGTTTGAAACTTTAAATGGATGTTACAAATGAGGATTTATCTGGGCATAAAAAAGAACTAGTTTGTTTTAAATTTAAATCACTTTTGGGGGCAAATTGCCATTTAAAACTCCAGATTTTTTAAGACATTTATCAGCCCTGGTGCACAAAAACACTTAAAAAAATGCTTATTGAGTTTCCTAAAGTAACCATATTTTGCCAAGTCCTGAATACCCTATTGATTATCCCCCCCTAAAAGTGGCATGAATATGCAGGATACATGAATATTTTCAGTAAGTTTAGAATTTCTTCAGGACATATGCAAGAGATCTGCGTGTCTTGGAGCAAGTCTTTAATTTCAGATGCAGAGGGAGCCTCTGGAGTGCTGAAAGTCTGCTGGTTCACATCTGCCTACATTTTTTGGAATGGATATAAATGTATATGTTTATATATATTTATATCCAGAAGACACCAGCAACTTTTTGCTGTGGTCTTTGTGTCTGCAGACAGCGCTTCTCTCCAGCTGATGATACATGTGGGTGTTTAAGTTGTGATGGACCAGGAGTGCTGTGGGCTTCACAGTGTCAGGGGCGAGGTGCAAAGCTTTTGGCAGATGTGGTGGGCTCTGCAAAGCACAGTGGTTGTCCAGGAATAACAGGGATGGAGTGGACACAGAAAAAGAGGAGATGGTTCTACATGATGTGATCTGAAACCTCAGGTGTGGTCAGGGTTGTGGAGGGCACAAGATGAGGAGCAGGCACAGGGCACAGAGCTGGGAGAATGGAATTATATTCCCAGACCATCCATGCCCTATGCTGGACATATCAGCGCATTGAGGTAGCTGAGTTGCCTGGGACTGCGTGGGATTTTTTTTAGCTGCTTTTCAGAGAGCATTCTGAGATCTTCCCGAGGAAGGATTACAGGAGGTGGCAGAGCATGAAGGGGTAACCTGGCTATGTCTGGCTTGGTTTTTTTTGGCTTTTTTTTTTTTTACAGTGAGGGCAAAGTGCATTTCTTTTGAGGAGGATAAGTTCAGAAATGTTAAAAATCCAGACATTAAAAATTCAAATCTTAAGCTGCTCCGGTGGGCGTAGAGCTGATAAAATGGCGGCACCGCAGGAGCCAATCTCCAACCCTGGGGCCTCTGTTTTTCACAGTGCCAATTTTTGAGCAATTTTGAGGTGTCCTTCGTGGGTGGGTGTTCTCCAGGTTAAGAAAGCCATTTGTACCTTTATTCCAGAAAAACAGTGTGTGCCTGAGCTCGTGGGGAAGAGCAGAGGCACCCAAAGCTTTCGCTGAGGCTGTTCAAGAGGCCTGCAAATATTTCACCCTCTTTCCTCCTGTACAAGAGACGGGGGAGGCACAATTTGATTTTCCTGAACAAGCTGAAATAGCCTTTCCTAAAGGAAATCCCTGTGTCCATACAGAGGGGTGGCACAGCTTTCAGTCCTGCTGCTCTAAATGCTGCAAGTTTGTGTGCAGGCAAGACCCAGGAGAGTTATGGTGGAGCTATTAGGAGGGGAAGTGATTTTTTCTTAGACTGATTAAAATTCTTTGGGCTTTCTGTTTGTTTGTTTTTAAACACCTATTTAGCTTTTAATTAACATTTAAGAGAAGGGAAGCTGGTTAAATATTCAATACCTCCTCCCTTTCAATTAAGGTAGAACAGTACACAACGCGTGATGAGGCCTCTGGGAAGTATGGAAAAATGGAGAAGAGCAGGCTCCTGATTATAATTTTCAGGGGGACAGGAAAGGTGAAACCCATCTGATTATTACTGCTGTTAACAATAGTAATGTTGAGATTTTTAATTTTTTTTGTTTTTTTTATATCAGAAAGCAGTTTAGAAATGCAATTATTCTTTAAAACCGCGTGTCCTGTCTTTGGCCTTTAAATACCTCAAATTTCCAATCCCATTCTTTACTTATTTCAGGTGCAAGCATGGAGGATTTTCTAATAGGCCTTTTTCAGTAGCTTGGTAGGGAGGCTGCAGATGCTGGGGAAGTTATTCCTCATGCTACATGCCCTTATCTTCATTTTGATGCAGTTCTTTCTGTCCCAGCCAGTCAGCAGCTTCAAACCATGCAGCCCTGGGAGCTCAACCAAGCAAGGGAGAAAGAGCTGTATTGTCACCATACTCCAGTCTCTTCCCAATTCCCTTCCTTCTCCTTCTGGAAAAATCCAGTTACCTTCTGCCTGTGAGCCTCAAAATTGCACATAAAACATGCAGAAAAGGGCGCCTCAATGGAAGAAATGGGTTAGGAATATGCTAGTATTTGTAATTCAACAAATTCACACTTCCTAAACATCAATTCCTCCCTTTTGATTTAGTGTACTCTAATTTATCTGACAAAATATTTTGTTTTGATGGCCATCTAGTTTAAAAAAGGATAATGCTGGCTAAAAAAAATCCCCCAACAAACCCATTTTACATTGTGGAAACCCCTCAAACCACTGCCCAAAAGGTGATGTATTTTTAAGCCTGCTATATCTTCTGCTGTGGTGAGAGAACTTACCTGTGGAAAATACTTTGTTTTCACCAAATATCCCACAAAAATGATTTTTTTTTTTTAATCACCACGTTACATAAATGAGTTTTTAAAATGGAATTGCTGGCGCCAGATGCCAGTTGTGTAAATGTATGTTCCTGAATGAGTGGTTGCTTTTTGGCTTTTTTTTAAGGAATCAAGAGAGAGGAGAGGCTAAAATGCAGAGTTATTGGATAGGTTTCGTATGCTATAACTTCAAGGTTTACTGGATATAAGACTGCATCGATTTTTAAAAACAGAAAAAAATGGTTTGCAGAAAGATTTCTGACTGCATCTACTGCAAGACTTTCCAATTCAACTTTAAAATTAGCCTATTGTGATGACACAATAATTTTTAAAGTAACTGCTGTATGTTGTCCGATGACCTATTCAATGCTATGGATTTTTATTTTCAAAAAAGCAAAACCAAATGAAACATCAAAACCCAAGGTATTTTCTCCATGAACCTCTCTTCCAATTACATAAGCATATGAATATATTTATATATATGTCTCTTGTGATTACTTATCTGTCGAGTTAATGATGTGTATTTACTGGCTGGACTAAAACAAGAATTAATCCAATTAGTTAAATAATTGGTTATTTACCAAATATTTTCTTAATTATTGAGAGTCCATTTCTACTTCAGCTGTAAATAACTGAAATTCTCCCATCAATTTCAGCTTAAGTAGTATTTTATTATTTTTTAAAAAGTTTTTATAGCTTTTATAGAAGATATTCATAGAAATCACAGGAAAAATTTTGCACTTGAAGAGGATAGTGAAAGTAACACGTTTTGTCAGAAAGTTCAATTCAAACTGTCATTCAGGTGAACTTCACAACTTGTGATTTTTTATTTTTTTTTAATTTAATTCAATTTGTAGACAAAAAAAAAAAAAAGGCTGAAGGAAGTAGCATGCATTTGTCTGGAAATAGCCAAATTCTGTTACATGGAAAATTCTGTGCTATAATATGATTAAAAGTTGATGTGAGCAACCTAAGACAATTGAGTCCCTCAATTGTCTGACCCCAGAGCTGTATCCTTTATATGCAAATACCACTAATGTCAATTTTATCTCAGCTGGATATAAATTATATCCAGTTGCAACACACCCATGCCATGGATCTCTGGAAGATGATAAAGCTGGAGAGATGATGAAGGCAAAAAGGCATTTTTCCTGTGGATTTTGGATCAGGATCCTGCCCAGATGGAGAGCATGGGCTTCCCATTGAGAGGAGAGGAGATGAGACTGTAGAGAAAGATCTTCCCTGTTCTCTGCCTGCTCCCAGCTGTTCTCTGATAAGAGAATCTTCAAGAGAGGGGTTAGAAGGAAAGGAGGAATCAGCTCAGCAAGAAGAATATTGAGGAGACATCAGCTATTGTCGTAGGCAGATACTTCACTGAAGTAGAGAAAATATGAATTCACAAATATTTGTGCTATGCACCCAGAAATTTGTAGATAAACCTAGATCTTACACTTTCTTTATATTTTTGCCCCTTTTTTTTCTCTTCTGTTTCTCTGAAGCAGATGTCTAGTAAGAACAGCACTGACAAAAAGCACTATCAGTAAATCAATAACTTTTTTTTTTCTTTCTCTTTTTTAAGGAGAACACACACAAGAAACCAATTCACCTCATTCTCTGAAGAAGGATGTGGAAAATATGGGGAAAGGTAAAATAAATAAGGGCCTCTTACATTATAAAACTGCTCTTTGTTTTAATAGAATATGAGGATAATAGGGGGCACTTTTGTTCTGCGCCATATTTTAAGCTTGTCAAGTAACATATGAATAATATATGGACCTTTGGGTGGATATAATTGAGATTAATGCATATATATCAATCAATACATGACACTGTAATATAATACTTTAAAATAATATATTACATTGATTTATATTCATGGCTTTCTGCACAAAATCTATAGTAGGTCTATGCAACACTTTTTTTTTTTTTTTAATAAGCGCTAAAATATTTTGTCTTGGAGTAATGAATTGCTCTGCAACTGTTCTTTCAAGAATTATTTATACAGATTATCAAAACCACTTTTTCTCTTTGTTAGAGGAACTCCAGAAGGTTCTGTTTGAGCAGATTGACCTACGGAGGAGGCTGGAACAGGAATTCCAGGTGTTGAAAGGAAACGCGTCTTTCCCAGTCTTCAGTAAGACACAAAATCTGTGGTTTTGGTGTTGTGTGGTGTTGTGGTTGGTTGCTGCCAGGCTGATAAAATGAGACAGGCTCTCAGTTGTGCTGCCACGATCTTGGCCTTAGTTCTGCTGAGTCCAGGTTGGGAAGGTCTTGGATCAAGCTGGAATGGTGGGAGGTGTCCCTGGAGTTGGAATGAGGTGATTTTTAAGGCCCCTTTCAACCCCTGCTGTGGCTTTGCAGCCACCCAAGCAGGTCTTTTGCAGAAAAAATATAAAGCTGGATGTTTGTTTTGGCGTGCACTCTACTAGTTTTGATAGCATGGATTACAGTGAGTAGACAGGAACACATCTGGATCCTCATGGGGTGCGGAGAGGTTGGTGTCTCAGCCAACACCTCGGGGCTTCTGAAGACAAGATACCTAACCCTTGTTTTTAGGACGTTCCTAATACTCATTTTCAGGAGATTCCAGCTGATGCTGGAGAACTGATCTGGCCTTTTTAGGGAGTAGAAATTCCTGCTTGGATTTTTCCCCTTGAGAGAGGCCATTTGAGGTGGTCCTTCCACCATGGCCGCTGAGCGGGGTGCTGCTGTGATGGAATGTGTGGGGCACATCTCAAATAAAACACAATGGGCACTGAGCAGGGCTTTTGTGAAGCTGCCAGAAGGCTGGGCTGATTGTACAGGGATGTGGAAAAAAACCCCTTGGCTGGGATCTCTTGAATGACACTGGAGCAACGGCAGAAAGATTGTTCTGGGAGAAATCCCACCTAGATCAGGATGATCCCGCCAGAAAAAGAGGGAACACAGACAGCATTTTCCTATTTTTCAAAGAAAATATGCCTGTCCCCTTTCTGTAGAATCAGATAGGTAAGTTTAGGGAAGGAAGGAAGTGTGAGGACTCTGGGAATGACTCCATCTTTAGCCCGAATATTAAAATATGTAGACAGCTCAATAAATAAAGAACAGTCACTTGACATGATAGAGATATTAATGAAAGGAGTATAACCTCATCCTTCAGAATAAATCCAGTCATTACTTGGGTTTGGGAGTGAGGTAATTTTCAAATAATTCGTGGGGATCAAAATGCTGCTGTGTGGTATTGGCGAAATGGCATCTTGGACTTTTGCCATTTGAGTCTCTTATTTATCCTTTTGTTCTTCTTCAGTAAAATTAATGCTCTGTCTTTGCCATGTAAATAAACACTGCAATTAAACCACATGAAATACTATTCAAATAAAAGAAAAGAACAAGTAGGGCCGACCAAGGAAGTGGTGACTGCTGTATGCTGGCTTGAAAAATATGTGGTTTCAATGTACCACAAAGTAGTGGTCAATTTTCTTCAGGATTAAAATAGAAAACAGATAATGTGCTATAAACCATACCTACAAGTGACCGTAAAGCCTATTTACAGATTTAGATTTACCAAAAAACCCACCCCTCCTCCACATGCAATAAAACAAGAAAAAAGGGTCTTTCTAAAAAAAAAAAAAAAAAAAAAAAATCAGTGTAAATCGGCGTTGAGGGTGTTTTGTCCTCTGTTATATTGCATGTTCTAGCACAAGAGAGGGGGGCTGTTCCAGGCTCTTGCTGTTGGACTGTTGCTTTAGGTCAGGTATTAGAATGGTATTGGTGTCTTGGTCAAGGAGGAGCCAGGCAGAGGAGTTCTTGGACATCCAGCTAAAGGAAAGTTGAGGCAAAATTTGAATTTTATTGAAAACTCATCTGTTTCAGCTGGGAGGCAGCATGCGAGATGTGGAAGGCAATACTGTTTCTCTCTGGAAGATGCTTCTGTCAGGTTGCCTGCAGTGAGCTCTAGATTCACCTCTTTTGGGTCCTCCACCTGGCACTGAGCACATTTGGGGTGTTCCACCTTCACAGCACCAAGCCACTGCTCACAACAGCACTGTGCAGTAAATGGTGTTTGGTTTCAGAGCTCTCATCTCCTTTAAATCACTGCTAAATGAGAACTGAGCTTATTTGCAAGCAGTGCTATGCTGCAGTTTTCTCTGTGGCTTCTTGAATCTGCTTGAAACACGGACTGTGACAATTTATAAAACAGCAAGACCTTGTATTTTTCACATTGCTGTTGCGCTTGAAAGCCGCAAGTGAAATTTTCTTTTTGCCTTTAAGATCTCTCAATGCAGAGATCCCTTGAATAAAAAAAAATAAAAATAAAAAAAAAATTAAAAAAAAATCAGGTTGAGTGTAGAAAGTCAAAGTATTTGCTGAACTGATAGAAATGCAAGCATCCCTGCATGGTGACAGTGTGTTCTCCTGGAGCCCTGCTCTGCTTTGTGCCGTCCGCGTCGGCTGCTCCGCGTTCTGTCCGTCTGCATTTTAAACAATGTGGCAATAAAATGGAGGAGACACAGCCTGGGTACTTAAAGTATTTAATTTTGTGTTAAGAAAGCTATTTAAATATTCATATCTTTTCTCCTGGGTGCTGCTTATGGCTTTGTCTGTGAGCGTTTGGACTCGGATAAATGCTGCCGGAAAAAAAAACGCTGTCCCTGCCATTAACACCCCATTTCCACTGTGAGCTTGGACATTTGCTGTGCAGGATTGAGCAAGATCCCCGAGCTGTTTCTTTGGAGAGGTGATGAGCCCATGAAGAGGCAGCTGGGAGGAAAGCATTGAGGGGAAAAAGGAAAATTTCTCCTTAAAGCCTACTCAGAGTGAAGCTGGAGGACCTCAGTTGCAATTATCAGCCTTTAGTGGTCAGGACAGGAGGCAGTTACCTTTTTTTTATGGTGCATGGTTTTTGGGGGGGGCTAGGAAAAGAGGAATTGAAAATTTGCTTTATTTTTGTTGGCTTATTTTTCTGATCGAGTCAGAGTAGAGGGAATAGGCTTAACAGTTATTTGGGAATTTAGTGGAAATCCGAAGAGCTTCATTGAGAAAATGCCACCATGTCCTTTTCAATGTGGTTGTGCTGGACTCCTGAAGGCTTCAGCTTGCCAAAATTTCTCACTCTTTCCCTGTTTCACTGCTCTTTCCCTGCCTCCTTTTCTTTCAAACAACTACTTCTGTTCATCATTGAGAGAAGACAAAGTTCTCTTTTGAGAGGGGGACACAGCTCTGCCCCCTTGTTTTTAATTCCAAGACAGGCTCCTTACTTGAATCAAAATGATAGTTTTTTGGGATGGGTTTTCTTTCCTCTTCCATTTAACAGCCCATCCTTGCACTCTGACATCCATCAGGCAGCTCTTGGAGTTCTCTGGTTCTTGTCAATAATTTTGTTTATATTCCTCTTTTTCCCAGTCACCAACAAGAGTGTTAAGGCACACAAAGCATCAGTTCATCTTCTAACAAATGAAGTTCTGTCTGAAATGGTTGTTTAGGAGGAAGGTCAGGGAAGGAGGATCTGCTGGAGCAGGAAGGCTGGCCTGTGCTGTCACCCAGCTGCCCAGGATCTCTCAAAGACTTTCTCCCGTCCGAATTCCACTCTTTATGGAGCTCCAGTTTTGTTCAAAGCCGTCAGCACAATGCTACAAACCACAAATCAAACCCTGCATCCTTGAACGCTTCCTCCTCTCACGTGCTGGACATCGCTGTTGATGTCAACAGATTTATGCCAAAGCAAAGAGGAGCTTTCTGCTCTGCTCTTCAGGGCCTGCAAAAGTTTGACTAATGACTGCAGAGCCCTGCCCGTGCAGGAAAATAGCTGGGAATAAATGCTAGCAACACAAACTTGGCATCCTACATTTGCTGATGGGGGAAGTAGTGAAACCTAACTTTTCCACATTTTTTCTGTTGTCAGTGGTGTCTCCTATTAGATACATATTTGTTAGGTGCATGTTTTAATTCAGTGAAGGACTTCTGTGATGCTTTGTGATTCCTCAGTAGTGACAGGGCTTGATTTAGCTTGATTGGTGTCAATACTGCCATGTATTTTCTGTCTATTAAAACAATACTCTGTTTTAATTGTTGCACCTACACTTCTTTCCCTCTCATACAGACAATTTTCAAGATCAGATGAAGCGGGAGCTGGCGTACAGAGAAGAAATGGTGCAGCAGCTACAAATCGTAAGTTTACTTTCTCTGATAAAAATGTCTTGATCTGCTGCTTTGTGTTTTTTAGTGCACACCTCAGATTTTTCCTTTATGAGCCATGCAGATGCCCCGCTGCCGAGCTCCTATTGCCTTATATTTAGCAAGAGGTAAACATGCAGTTCTCAGCTGGTTTGGAGCCTAATTACCGGGAGATTTACTTTCATACAGTAGCCAGATGTGTCTTCATCTTTCAACTAAACAAAATGTGTCGACTCAACACAGAGAGGTTCTTCTGCAGGGAGGAGCAGGGAGGAGTGAATCAGTAAACTTTGAGCAGTGAAACGTTTCTGCCTAGGGAATCTGCTCAATCCCTCCTTCCCACCAGAAAATAAACCTTAGGATGTGTCTTTTTCTCATTTCACACACTAGAAGAAGTGCTTAACTCAGCAGTAAAGGATCAAGTTGCCAAAACACAGTTCAGTGCAGGCACACGTTACTGTTGGGTCTCTTGCTTGTTATTTTAAAACCAAGAGGGATTTTGCCTGTGTGCTAGTGCAGCCCTGGATCATCACATCCAACTGTGTTGTTTTGAAAAGATGATGTTCTTAATCCGATGCAAGCAAAGGGTCTGGAGCATGGGAAGCTGCTCCACACTCAAATAAATGAATGCCTAGTGTGGTTTCAAGAGCAGGGCAAGGTGAGGGTGTCAGCTAATGCTTGCTTTGCTGGTGCTTTCTCTGTGATCAGTCTGACATTGCTCAACAGGGTTTTGTTTTTGAGGCAAGTTTGGCAAATATCCCCATTTCTCTGAATCAGCCCTGTGCTCCCCCATTGAAATTTTCCTCCTGCTTGTCACGGTGCAGAGAAGGCATTGCCCAGCCTCCTGGTTCTGTCATTTTCTAATGGATGGGTTAGGACATAAAAGTAAATTTGAAGGCCAGGATTGTCAGACTTGTGCTCCGATGTTTGGAGGCATTCAGGACTGGCCTTATTTTTAGAGCTTCCACGTGCCCCGTTCCTGCTGACTGCAGAGATTTCAATGAGAGGTGGAGGGTGTTTGGAAGAGGTTGTTTGTGGAGGAAACTCAAGTCCAGAATACCTCTGGCTGTTTTTTGCAGCTGGTCTTTTTGCACTCTTTTCCTGTAGTGTGCTCAGCTGTTACTGTGTCCCCCTTTGTGTCCCGATGACAGGCAGGGAGTTTGACTTGACCTGTGAATTTTGCTGTCACAGAAAATTCTGATTAGGATGCCCCTCCTGAAAAACATTTCCTCTGCTGCTTTGGACTTGAGGCAGGTGACAAGCTGAATTTTCTGCTGCAAAGAACTTCTAGGCACAAAGTTTATGTGCACCCCAGTCTTTATCTCTTGTGTCAGCTGGACTTGGAGCTAACTAACTCTGCCTCCCAGGGAGAGAATGGATCACCTCTGCCATCCACCTTGTGGCCCTGTGGTAAAGCTGTTTCTGGAACATCCCAGACCTCCAGCAAGCCAGCTGTGGTGGTTTTCCTGATTTTCTTGGGCAGAAAAAGAAATATGATCAAGTAATTCACACCCTTTTCATTTACTGATTTGTGCTATGGACAGACTAAGAGTATTTTAATCATTTAACAGAGCTATCTGAATGTACTTACAGAGAATAGTTTAAACATTTAATGTGCTGCACCAGCAGCTCAGAACCTCTTCACTCACTGCAGATGCCTAGTTTAATTATTACTAATAGAAATGTTGTTGAATCACCAGTAACTCTTCACGCTCATATTTGTGGGGCAGGCTGCGATCAGTGAAACTGATAAAAATATCTTTGTATGAAAAACCGAGAGACTGCTGCAAATAATGAGTGTGTTTGCCAAAATGGGGGCAGAAACCTTCAGAGACATCTTGGCCAATAACTGAAATGGAGTCAGCACTTTTGAGGTGATAGTCCCAGCAGTGGCTTTAATTCATTCATGGGAATATATCTTGTATGTTTATATCTAGAATTAAGATTAATGAACTGAATGTGGTAATGATAGAACTACTTTGGCCTTCCAGGGTTATTGCATGGATGAATTGGTGCAGAATACAAAAAAAGCGTGTCTGCTTTTGATTTTTTTGTTTAATTGCTGTTGTTTTTTGTTTTTAACTGGTGCCTTTAGGTGATTTTTTTGTACCTGAGATGCTGCACCACTACTTCAATGGGGCTTTAACCTAATTTTCTTGTTAACATAGCAGTACAAAGAGAAAAGCAGAAACATTTCATGTATACTGAAATTATAGTTTTACTTAGACCTTCATAGGTGTATGCTTTTGTAGTACTAAGATCAAAATTTACTGGTGTAACTAGCCACAGAACACGGCCTAATTGCTTTTAGAAATTATTTTACAAAAAATACAGATGCCTAGATTCAGGGGTTTTTTTGGCTCTTCTCACTGCTGAAGATATACAACTTAAATTAGTTCTTCCTGAATATCCCTGGAAAGATTTAAGAGCCTGTATGTGGCTGTAGCACTTAGGGACACGGATTAGTGTGGGATGGGCAGTGCGGGGGAAATGGTTGGGTTTTAATATCTTGGAGGGCTTTTCCACCCTAAACGATTCTGTGATTCCCTGATCCCCTGTAACTGTGGGAACCAGTAGGTTTATCCAGAACTATCGTTTCACTCGTCCCGAACTGAGTAATCAGACTTTAAAATAGATTAACCCAGCGTGTTTGCTGTTTCGGAAATATCTGTAATACAAGCTGGGAAAAAAAAAAAAAAAAATCAACCAATTATGATTCCATTTGAAAACTTCCCAGCGCCAACACCCACTGCAGCCTGACGTGAAGATCATGCCCTGCACTGGCCGTGACGCTTTTTTGTCCCGTTTTTTTTGGGGAGATTCTTCCCCGTTTTGGGGGCGGTCGGTCGCAGCGCGGCCCGCGGGTGCCCTCTGCCGGCCGCCGGCCGCCACTGCAGCGGCCGCGGCGCGGTAATCCCGCGCTCAAACTGAGCCCGGCTTAAATAAACCAGCGCTGATTCAGCGGGCCCCGCTGCTCCTGCCGCTCTGCCCGAGCCGCAATTCAGAAATAATAATAGTCCGTGGCTTCCTGGAAGCCAGGAGTAAGGCTCAGGTGGCTGGGAAAACGGGGTGGGTTCTGTTTTACGTGGTCGCTGGGGGATGTTGGGTTGATGCAGGCAGCCCGGCTCGGGGGGCTGCGGGGGCGGCAGGCTGGTGTGTGGCCATGGTTTTGATGGGAATCACAGATGGAGCAAGGCTGCAAGCGGCCACTGGAGGTCACCCAGTCCGAGCTCCCTGCTGGAGTCCCGCAGAGCGCCCTGCTCAGAACAATTCCCCAGGCAGGCTCGGAACATCTCCAGTGGGGAACGCTCCACAGCCTCGCCATGCAGACTGTTCCAGTAAGGAATTCCTTCCTGATGTCCAGGCGGAACTTCCCGTGTTTCAGTTTTCAGAGTTTTCAGTGTGTCTGAAGCAGCCACTGGGAAAGTTTGCAACCTGTTTGTGCCAGGCTCCCGGCCAAGTGCCAGGAAACAACCAATCATCATATTTTACGAGAAAATGGATCTTAGACACCTGAATGCATTTTTTCTCTCGCTCCTCTTGCAAAGTACTGTCTCCCAAATTGGCTGAGTACAGGGCATGTACGTGGAGATCATATATAAAATATGGATTTTGCATGCAGATCCTGTTGTGCCAGGGAAGGTTAAAACTGGATATTAGGAAAAATTTCTTCACTGTCAAGCACTGAGTTCAGTTGTTCAGGGCAGAGGTGAAGTCCTCATCCCTGGAGGGGTTTAAAGGCTGTGTGGATGTGGCACTTGAGGACATGGGTCAGTGGTGAGCTGGGCATTGGTGGCATGGTTGGGCTCAATTATCTTAGAGATCTTTTTGAACCTAGAAGATTCTGAGATTCTGAGGATCATCTGGCTTTTGTTCATGAGTTGTACAGAAAGGGCCAGATAGGAGGAACTGCTGCCCAGCAGGATGGGGGAAATTATGACATGACACGCATGGTACAGCCTTAGAAGAGCTCACCTGCCTGTAGAGTTTTTAGTTTTTGTCCAATGAGACCAGAACTCATCTGCTGGGACAGCCCAGCACCATAACCAAGTATCAAGTCACCTCCTGCCTGAAACTCTGGATCTGTCTGATACTGTCTCCTGAGCAACTGTGTTAGTGGAACAGACTTTAAAACCATGAACTTTCTTCCTAGCTACTTGGTGAGAGAAAAAGAAGCAGCACTGCCAGCATTATGATTTCCATCCTTTAATGTTTTCATGAACCTCTCTCAAACATGGCCACAGGGAAGCACAACGCCAAGCAGGAAATTTGAGCCTCCTGCAAACTGAGGAACTTTTCTTAATTTTCCCTCAGAGGTGCCTTACAAGTGGTTTGTGGGTTCTCAGGAGGCCTTGGCCTCAGTGGTGACCTGTCCATCAGGAAAAGCTCCAGTGGTGTTCATCACCCATCGTGGTTTAGATCAGGTGATGATCAATCCCACTAATTTTACACTGGGGGAAAAGGTGACACGTTTTTGAGGTGTGTTAGAAATGTGAAGCACTCAGGCAGGCCATTGTCTTTCCAGATGAGGTGAGAAATGATGGTCTGGTTTTGTTTGGGGTATTTTAATTAGGTTATGCTCCTGTGAACTGCCTTCCTCCTTGCCAGCCTCACTTCGGGCTGATAATAATGTTCAGAGCTCAGAACTGGATCCATCTGGAACTGCTCTGTGTTTTATGGCTTTCTGCTCTCAGTGCTCCTTTAAATCAACTCTGTTCTTCAGAGTCAGGCAATAAAATAAATCAGGAACTATCTCTCTGCAAAACTGATTTCCATCCCTGCATCATCTTTCAGCTTGATCCTTAAAGATGGACAAGGAATGTTTAAAAGAATGGGGAGGGGGAAAAAATCCACCATGTAGTTAATGTTGGTAAATCTTCAGAGGCATGACAGCCTGTTCCTCTGGGTCACAGTGTAATTCAGAAGAGCACCAGTAGCTCTAATTCCCAGTTTACACTGCTTATGGAAAGCTGATGCTTTTGTACAACTAATGTGTTTATTATCCAAACAAGAAGCACCCACATTTTTGTGTGGGGAGGTCTGGGTTCTCAAAAACAGGGAATGGGAAATGGCAGTGCTTCAGTGCCATTTGTGATCTCTGTGCTTGGCCTGAAGTGGTGCAGTTCAGATGATTGACCTTGGAGAGAATGCAAATAGTTCTTCAGCAGAATGGCTCTCGGATTTCTTGAGTGGCATCTTGTGCTGAAGTGCCTGCTCACAGGCACACACATAATGACTGGTAAAAGAACATTTCTGGAACGCTGTGCCCTGTGTCCTCAAAAGGCTCATCCCTGGTTGTGTACAGGAAAGTGAGCTGTTTTCACCAGAATTTTATTTTTTGCTGTCAGCTTGCTTCTTCTTTTTCTTTTTTTTTCTTCCAAGAGAGGCGAGCAAAACTTGCATCTTGACAACACATGTGGATATGCCTTGGGTTGATAGGATGGAGCTGTGCCTCTTTCTCCAGTAAATTCAAATGTTAAAGAAAAGGATTCCTTGTAAAAATTTAAAAGAAAGCTTCCTTTCCTTTAAAATCTGCAGAAATTCTGGTCAAAAATGGGTGTGGATGTACAGGGAGCCACGAGCCAGCCTCAGCTACTGCATGAGTGCAAAACATTTTTTCTAGGCAACACAATGTAAAATTGTGTACCTTGCCAGAGATGGGATGCAGAGGTGAAGCCTCTAAAAGAGGATGATGTGCTGAAGCTTCTTTGATATCTGGGTGTGTATAACATGGATCAGACAGGAACTTCAGAAAGGATTCCCCAATCCTATCCATTACCTGTGCTTTGGTTCAAGGCATGGGGCAGGCTCCAGACTTGCTGACTGGGCTCCTTCCAGGTGGAATAAATGGGGATGTGTTCCAGGAATGCACAGGACGCTGTGCTCCTGTTCCTAATGGGTTCCAGGACTAGACTGCAGTCAGCCTGTAGGAATTTTGTCCATATTATAAATATATTTACATATGTCCATAGTGTCCATATTGCACTTTTCTTGGAGTTTCTCTTCAGATCTGCTCTCATTGTGTTTCCCACTAACATGGACCTAGTTACAAAAGCAGGGTTTTTTGATGCTCAAAACCCAACTGCCTTCACTTTTGTTGTTTCTGTGCACCCTTTGAAAAGGTGTACAGAAATTCACCTTTTTGCCAGGACGAGCCCTAAATCCTATTCCACCACAACATCGCAGTTACCAGATGCTCTGACAACGACAGAAATAGAAGATGACATTGTAGGTGATTTAACTCATTGAGAAAGTAGTCATTTCCCTGCTGAACACCCACCTCTCCCACTGCCATCAATTACCAGGAGATCAGGTAAAACAACACACGTTAGAAAGACGCCAAATATAGCGGAGAAGTGGATTAAGAACAGTTAATTTCTGACAGAATGTACCCCGTTGTATTATCTAGGTCAGTACAGCCTGGGAGATGTCCTATATAATTTGTGGCCATGCAAACCCAAGTTGGCCTTCGTGAGTGGGAGAGAGGCAGGAATCAGCAGCTGAGGCACCACAGCTCCCAGCTGGAACGTGCTGATTTTCTTTGATTTTGTTTGTGGCTCCCTTTTGCATCCCATCCACGTCCAGGGGTGATCAGGGAAGCAGCTGCTCTGCACCCCCCTCTCTGCTGCAGCTTGGGAAGGAGCTTTGCAGCCTTTGCAGGCACCGTGTCCTGAAGGCAGCTGTGCCTGGGGACATGGTGGAGGGGACAGCTCTGTTTCCTAGGGAGCATCTGGCCATGACCTTCCTGATACCTGTTATCTTCTGCCAGGGGAAGGGATCATAAGAGTAGTCAGACACAACACCTGGAATCTTGGTCTTTTCTGGTCATCAGTGGTTCGTGCACACACATTTCCCCTTTTCCAGGGCTGTGTATGGGGGAAGCAGTGTGCCCCTGTGAAAGGCTTCTGCTTTCATTCAGACAGACACTGCTCCTTCCTGGGGCTGCTGCTTTCAGCCAGATTGACCTCCTTTCCCAATAAATGAAAGGGCTAGCTCTCGAGCTTCAAAAGACCCTCTCTTTCCTTTCATCCTGATCCTTCCCTCCTCTTTTTCCTTATTAAGTCTCTCAATGTCTTTGCAGACACGATGCTTTACCCCAGCCCAGAGGCATGCTGGGCACAATTCACACAAACATCCTCATAGTGGATGGGCATCATGTATTTAAAATAATTATGGGCGTAATGTATTTAAAATAATGATGGGCGTAATGTATTTAAAATCAAAACAGGGATGTGCAGGAACATGTGGGGTCAGTGGATACGGACGTAAATTCACTGTGTCTAGCTGTGTGGGGCAGGTTGCTTGAACTCTCTACATTTGCCCATCTGTTCCTTCTGCTGTTTGTGCAGGTTAAGGCCTTGATCCTGACTTCAGGTGACATAATTGTCAGCTTGCAGTGATATATTTGACATTATTTGTGAGCACATTCTGGAGTGCCTGGCAGCAGAAGAAGGTCAGCTCAGTGTGCAGCAGCACCTAGGAGTGCAGGGACACAGAATTTTTTGATCTCCCAGCCTGAATTCCTCCAGCAGTCCCTCCAAAAGTCGTCATCATCAAAGAATTTGTAGCCACTTGGATTCCCAGCTATGGGGAAATCTCAGAGCAATTTAGTTTTGTTGCATTCTAAAGGCCCAGCACTGCAGAAGAGCAGCCCTGTAATGTATTCCCTCTGGCCAATGAGCACATCATCCCACTTTGTTTCTAAATATAACTGTGTTCCCTAATATGCCCATGTTCTCTGTTTTTCTTTAATTATTTGTTCCACTTCAGTGGCTTCCCTTCAGATTGGTGCAAGTTGGAGATAACTATTATGAACTTCCTAATTAGGGGGATATAAATACACGAAGTCTCACGCTCCCAGCCTGCTGTATTGTGGCTGTGCAGGGATCAGTGTGCATTGCCTGATCTGCCACAGACTTCATGATCTCACAGGTCAGCCTCTGACATAAACAAGGCATCAGCATGCATCTTTTACCCTGAATTTTAAGATTCTGTCCGTTGTTTTAATTCTGGCCGTTTTTTACTTTATTTCTGCTTCAACCTCCCTGAGGTTTCATAAAGAGCTGAACCTTTGTATTTAAGGTGTTGTTTCCTACAATTCCTCCCCATTTTCAGGAAGGAAAACAAAACCTTTCATTTGCAGGGATTTCCAGCTTGGGTGTTTTGTTAGCCAGTCCTTGGCTTGAGCAGTGTCTCCGTTTCTGTGTCATTCCAGATTCCCTATGCAGCAAGCTTGATCAGGAAAGAAAAGCTCGGTGCACACCTCAGCAAAAGCTAAAGGTGAGCTTGTGAAAAAGAGAATTCATTCCACTTGACCTGGCTGCCTGTGCTCCTCTGCAGCCCCTGCAGGAATTGAGAGGATTGTTCTGTTGTTTGAGGTGGCTGGTTCTGGTCCCAAAGCCCTCTCTGTGCAGGTGCTGAGCTGCAGTCTAAAGCTGATAAATTACATCTGGCAGGAATTACGAGGCTTCACTGGGGAGGGATGTAGTGCTGGGAGCTGACCCGTGGGTCCTGCAGTGACAGGACAAAGGCTTCAATCTGGGAGCTTTAAATTAAATATTATGAAGAAATTCTTCCCTGTGAGGGTGGGCAGGCCCTGGCACAGGGTGCCCAGAGCAGTTGTGGCTGCCCCATCCCTGGAAGTGTCCAAGGCCAGGCTGGATGGGGCTTGAGCACCCTGGGATAGTGGAAGGTGTCCTGCTCATGGGAGGGGTAGGATGAGAGGATCTTTATGGTTCTTTTCAACCCAGACCATTCCATGGCTCTTAACTGCCTGAGCTTGTGCTTTTCCTGACACTGAAAAGTGTCACCAAGGTCAACGTACCTTCAGTGGAAGGAGGGAAACACCTTGGCATTCAGAGTGCAAAAAAAATGTTCACGCTCCAGGTAGGGAGGAGTTTTTCTGCCCTTAATGGAACTCCTTTAGCTCCAGGAAAAAGCAGTATATCAGCATATTTTTGGGAGCCTCACAGAACCCCACTGACTGTGTTTCCATAATTCAGTGTCCTACAGAAGGTAATTATCCTGCAGGGCCTTCCTAAACCAAACACTACATTTTTCAGTGTATTAGAAGGGTTCATAGTAGAAAAACCGCCTCCATCATCAGTGGCTTGGGAGATTCCAGTTTTGGGTGCTGAAGTATTAGCATTTAAATGACATTCTCTTGGTTTTTTTCCTGGTGAAACAAGAAGATTAGGGATTGGAGACAGATGCCAAAAGCTGGTAGCCCTGCTACTGTGTTATGCCACAAAATCTGGCTTGTGGATTCGCTAAAAAAATCCCCGAGGAGAAGTAGGGGGATTAGAAAAAGAAGAGCTACTCATACACGGAGATCTCAGTAATGCACAAAGTAGAGGTATTCAAGAGAGTCTGGGACATCTGTGAAGGGCTTGATAGTAGAGATGACAGAGGTTTGCCTGAGCTGTAGAAGAAGCAGATTCTTAAAAACAAAAGCAGTAGGAGTAAGTACAGAGTAACCAGATAACCACAATCTGTGGCCCGCTGAGATCAGGAGATTACTCTCAGCACCGAGCTGGTCTCTTTTGCCTCTTGTGCACACTCACACACTGACTGCCAGCGTTTTCCAATCGAGCCCGCAGCAATGTGAGCGCTGATTTAAAACAAACCCAGTGGCACAGCACAGCCTCCCCCGGCCAGGAGCAGCTCCTGCCCCGGCGCCTTGCCCGCCGCGCCAAAAAAACCTGCCTGAGGATGGCAGAACAGGAGGAGAGGAGCACTTTGCTCCCACCGCCGGGCTTCCCGCAGCTCCCAGTCGCTGCAAGGACGGTGCTGGCATCCCAGCATCCCGGCACGAGCATTCGCTGCGCCTTTGGCGAGGGCGGGAAGGATGGATGCGCTCCTCAGGCTGCTCCAGCTTCCAGCGGGGATGAAAACGGGGATGTCCCCTCGCAGCCCCGGTGCTTTTGAAAGATTAGCTGCTGCTTAAGTGCTAAGCTGGACCAGCCAGGCGGAGAAGCGCGGCTGTGTTGTGCAGAAGGAGTTTCGTGCCCTTGATGTGCCAAGAAGGAAAAGTCTCCTCGGGAGGAAAGGTGTTTGCGCATCCCTGCCCGCGCAGCGCTCCCGGGCGCTTCAGACTCTCTGTTTGGCAGAGAAACCCCTCAGTTCCTGCCCTCTGGTCCTTCCCACAGCAGATCTGGATGCGTTTGATCGCACTGCAGGCAGTTAAATTTCTCACTTCATCAATTATTGGTTATTGCCAATATTTCCATGTGACCCCGCAGGTGCTCACTGTCAGTCTCAGGGGATGCCGCTAGAGCAGGTGACCTACGTGTGTCCCTTTCCCAGGGCCTGTAAACAAATGTCATAATTCTGTCACTGTCTCAAACTTTGGCTTAATGTTGATAACACGCTGCTCCAGCTTCCAGCGGGGATGAAAACGGGGATGTCCCCTCGCAGCCCCGGTGCTTTTGAAAGATTAGCTGCTGCTTAAGTGCTAAGCTGGACCAGCCAGGCGGAGAAGCGCGGCTGTGTTGTGCAGAAGGAGTTTCGTGCCCTTGATGTGCCAAGAAGGAAAAGTCTCCTCGGGAGGAAAGGTGTTTGCGCATCCCTGCCCGCGCAGCGCTCCCGGGCGCTTCAGACTCTCTGTTTGGCAGAGAAACCCCTCAGTTCCTGCCCTCTGGTCCTTCCCACAGCAGATCTGGATGCGTTTGATCGCACTGCAGGCAGTTAAATTTCTCACTTCATCAATTATTGGTTATTGCCAATATTTCCATGTGACCCCGCAGGTGCTCACTGTCAGTCTCAGGGGATGCCGCTAGAGCAGGTGACCTACGTGTGTCCCTTTCCCAGGGCCTGTAAACAAATGTCATAATTCTGTTACTGTCTCAAACTTTGGCTTAATTTTGATAACACTTTCTGTCTCTCTCTCTCTCTTTTTTTTTTTTTTTTTTTTTTTTTTTTTTTTTTTTTTTTTTTTTTTGCCACTCCCAGAAGCACAGGAGCTTTTGCAGCTGTTACCTTATAAGTTATAACCCAGTCAGAAAACCTGACTTGTATATAGACTGTGAAATGGAAGTGTTTGGGGATCTAAATAAAAAAAAAAAATCAGGTTCCTCTGAACCTAAGGACAAGTGACCTCATAGTATCATGGACAACCATGTCAAATAGAATGTAGCAGCCATTTATTAGTAAACACAAAACAACAAAAAAATGCCTGTCCTTGATATTTTTCTTTTTTTTTCTTTTTTTTTTTTGGTGGTACCAAAGTTTAAGTCTTTGTGTTTTTAGAAGGACTATTGAGCTTGATAGGAAAAAAAAAATGCTTTTGAATCGTGCAGATAAGCTGTGAAAGGAACTGCTGGTCCTTTCAATGCCACAGACACTGACAACATCTGCCAGTTCACCTTTTGCTTTGGAATAGTGATTGTTTTATGAAAGGAAATGAACGTCTCACCAAATGGGCCAGAACCACGTTTGGATGGACAGGTGGACAGATGGATGGACAGATAGAGCAGCGTTAGCCATACACAGAGCTTTTTAAAAGCAGTCTGGAGATTCTCACACCCCTCTCCCTCGTCCCTTCACCCCTCTGGTATTTTGCCTGCTGTATGAATTACGATTGTACTCCTCTGGAAATATTTTACAATTTAATATTGAGTGTAATTAAGAATATAATCACTGTTATCAAAAAAGGTATTTAACTCTGTTGTAGTTTCTTTATCATTCATGTGGATAAAAAGTCTATAATAAAAAAAAAAAAAAAAAAGAAAAGTATGAGCTAATAGTTGAGCTTCCCTGTAATTTAATGCCATGCTTCGTCCACTGAAGAACACAGCTGGGAAATTTATCCCCAGTAATGTCTTTTTAGAAGTATTTTCATTCACAAATAATATGCTGAAGAGTTTCATGGCAGAAATTTCTGCCTCTGGTTATTTTGAAAACGCTCAGAAGAAGCACATTTAGTACAATTCCGGGACGTGCCTTGTGGATCCACAGAAATAAAGGCAGTTAGTCGATTTTGAAGACTGCAGCTGAATGGAAGGACCTTCCTTGCTGACCTGCAGCACCCTGGTTGTCAGAGCTTTCCTGAGTGGATCCACCTCCTTGCTGAAGGTCTTGGTCCCAAACCCAAAGGTTCTCCCACACCACGACAGCACCACCAGCATCCAAAAGTGTTTTTAGCTGTGCCCAGCAGAGCTGCTCTCTCAATATTCCCAGCAAACTCCCAGCAAATTCCTGTGAGATTAAATCACCTGGCTTTGCAGTTCCTTGGTGCAGCTGGCAGAGCTGGGAGGGAGGGAAGGAAGGGCACAGCCTTGTTTTCATGCCCTACCCTGCACAGTTTGCTCTGGTGTTAGGAGAGATGACAAGGCTGACGGAACCAAGAGAATCAAGGCTTTTGTGGTGTGGGAAAAAAAAACCAAGCCAGCAAAACCACCAGAAAAGCTGGGCCAGGGCAGTTCAAATTTTCACCTGTACCAGTAGCCTGTTCCCAGGAACAAAGGAAATCAGTTACTTTGTGAAAGCACACCAGCAATTAGAGATATGTGCCCAGAATATTGTTTTAGCTACTAATGATTTACTGCTCATGGGTTTTCTGACCTAGACATGATGTCTTGCTTTTAGTAACCCTCAATGGATTTTTTTTTTTCTTCCACAAACACAACCAGTGATTTTTTAAGACCTAGGCACACTTTTAGCAGATTACAGTATCTTGTGACAATAAACTCCACAGCTTAAATACAGCTTGCGGGGAAAATAGAGAAAACCAGCTTCTGATGATTTGAGCTGCCAAATTTAGCCTCATTTTATGCCCTGGGCTTCTTGTACTGGATGAGACAAATTGCCTGTTGACTACTGGCCATCCCTGTCCTCTTTCTCCTTGCCTGGCATGATTTCATAGGCACCTATCTAGCCTTTTTGGCTGTCATTTTTCCAGATTAAGCTGTAGTCATCCCTCCAACATGAGCAGCCCCATAGCTCTGTAGCCTTCATACACCTTTTCCCAATCAGGAGCATCCTTTATGAGGTGCAGAACTAGCTGCACAGAATACTTAGGGTACAGGATACTCTACAGATTAATGCACGGAGTGACACAGTGCTGCTTTGTGTGATGAATGAACCCCACTGCAGGGTGGTGGTAAAATCTCTTACCACTATAGATCAAAAGTTTTGCCCAGACATAAAGCAATCCTGTTGCTCAATAAGAAATTACCTCCCTAATGGCTGCTGAGTGCCAGAGCTCCTGGATGTGGTCAGGCGTGCAGAGCAGCCCTCGCTGTCCCTCACCATTTGAGAACCAGGCTCAGGAGACGACAC